AAGAACAGGATGAGAGTAGTTATTTTCAGGAGAAAATAATTTTAGGAGAAATTTTAGAAAAGATTTTTAGGAGAAATCTTCCTGAAAAATTGGTGGTTGAGTACGGTCTTGAAGTGTAATAGCCAGATGTGAATTTGGAGGGGACAAGGATGGGCATTAACAGATGGAGAGGATGGTAAAGGTGACCATATTTCAGACAGGGAGAAGAGCATCATGAACAAAATAATTAGTGTGTAACAGCACAGTTTATGTAGCAAAACTACAAACAACCTAGCATTATGAAAACATAAGGGGTAAGATGAAAAGTGGTTAAAAGGATGAGGTTGGGGAGATGATAACACTAATAGCTAGCATTCTTTGAAAGCTAGTTAATATACACCAGGCTTGTCATGCATGATCACACTCAGTCTTGACAACATTCCTCTGAGGTGTATAATCTTACGTTGCTCTTATTGTCCTGCCTGCCTCCCTACAAAATAATTCTACTGTGATGGCATGATAGCAGCAATGTGTTTCATTAAAAATTGAATGGGTACGTAGTAATGTAGAAATGTCACTGGAAGCAGAACAAACTCTCTACCTAGAGACTGCCAAATGTGGCACTACCACACTTTTAGGCCAGGCTGTGAAGTATACAAACACAGGCACTTAATCTTGTCAGTGTTCCAGAGTTGATTGTACTTGGAGGATGTGGATTGATGATAACCACATTTACAGGAGACTGAAATTTAACCAGAATTTTTTTAGGCAGTAGAGATATAGCCCAACATATGTGAACAGAGCATAGGGATTTTGATGAAAACAGAAACAACATGAGTCAGCAGAATGATGTACTTGGCCAGTAAGATAATAAAATCGGAGGCTGAATTAATAGAGGTAGTATTTCAAGGTGAGGGAGGTGGATGTTCTTTCCTTCCTTGCTTTTGTTAAACCACACAGTATTTGAGAGAAGAGATGTGGACACTAGCCTGTGTTACATGAAGATAAGTTGAATACTTTAGCCTGAAAGAAAGAATGTGGTCTTCAAATAATATTTATGTGGCTCTTGAATTAATTTCCTTCTGTCCAATCTGACATTTCTTCTTAGTTTGACTCTTATCTTTAGTCACTTAAATTACTTCAGCCCGAATTATTGAACATAAAACCACTCTGGCTGGTTTAAATACAGTATAATTTTAGGGGATGTTAGGAAGTTCTTGAATTAAGAGAGTTGCAGAAACACGCTCCAGATAACATTATAGGAATAGCTTCCAGAACCACACAACTGAAATACAGTTCCGATTAAGGAGCTCTTACCCCAGAACTATTTGATCAAAATATCTTAATGAAAAAGACACAGCTAATGCCATCAGTTCTGTAACAACATCACCTGTGTTGCCACCTACATCAGCAAAATGGATGGCCTGTTTGTGGCCTGCTTCCTCACATAGTTCACTTCTAAATCTACACGTCCTCTACATGTTTTTCATTGGTGGTGACTAAGCCACATGTCTGCATTCTAGTTAAAAGGGAGACTGACAAATATAGTTTGTATAGTTTCTACCTTTGTCAGGTGGGGCTGACAATGTGAGGATATATTAAATGGTAGAGGGCGTGTCCAAGTGATGTTGGGTAGTGGAAAATGACAGATGACCACTAGAGTTTCCTGGCTGGTCTCCCTCCTTCCAGTCAGGTTTTTTTCATCCTTTGAGACCCACAACTTGGTGAAGACTTCTCTGACCTTTCCATCTGCCCTCTGTGTTTCCAAATAATCCAGTATATGCCTCAGTTAGAATTATTTGTTCCTACTAGACCATAAATTATTTATTCAACAAACATATATAGCATTTACTAAGTATCAGGCATTGTTCTAAGTGCTCTATAAATAATATTTAATTTGAGTATAAAAACAGTGTACCAGATTAGATAGCCTGGCATAGTTTCTGGTGTGTAGTATGTGTTCAGTAAATAAGTGATTCAAAATTTTAAAAGTAGAGAAGAAAAAAAGTCACACCACCCACCTTAACACACAATTAATATTTTGTGTACATATTTCATGTCCAGTCATCCAAGGAAAAGTTTGGCAAAGATTAAACTCCCCCAAGAGGAGTGGGGCTCCCTGAGGAGGTAGGGAGTTCCCTGTCAGTTGAAATAGATACAGAGGCTGGGTGCGGTGGCTCATGCTTGTAATCCCAGCACTTTGGAGGCCGAGGTGGGTGGATCACTTGAGGTCAGGAGTTTGAGACCAGCCTGACCAACATGGCGGAACCCTGTCTCTAAAAATACAAAAAAATTAGCCAGGTGTTGTGGTGTGTGCTTGTAATCCCAAGAATCTCTTGAACCTGGGAGGCAAAGGTTGCAGTGAGCCAAGATCGGACTATTGCACTCCAACCTAGACAACAGAGCGAGTCTCCACCTCAAAAACAAAAAAGAAAAGAAAAGGGAAAAAAAAAGGAAATAGATACAGAACATAGATGAGCATCTGTGGACTACATTATAAGTGCTATCCAACCTACTTTCTGTGATTCTACTTTGATTCAACAATGCCAGAGCCTATGAGAGAGCGAGGAAAAAGATACCTTCTACCTTCTAGTAAGTCAGTAACGAGTAAAATATCCAAATGAGAAATAGTATTCAATAGAAAAGTGGGAATAGAGACAGTGATCCAGGTAATTAGGAAGAGAGGTCATGTATATGTACACAAATTTATAGGTATTGACTATGAATGAATCATCATAGGAGTCACTGCAGTGGTTGCAAATACAAATTTTTGCTGTCAACAAAGTTACTATTCAGTAGATAGATGCAATTTGTTTACTTTTAAGGATTCTTTGTCTTCCACATTCTCACATATACATCTTTAAAATATCTTTGATACTGTTCTTTGCCAATTAGTTTTTTTGATTGAAGAAACAGAATGCTCAGAATTTCTGTATGAGTAAAGGGATAAAAATACTGATTTTTTTTCTTAAAAAAATTAGATATGATTCACATACCATAAAATTCATCCTTTTACAATGGGCTTTTCTCTCTCTCTCTCTCTCTCTGTTTTTTTGGAGACAGATCTTGCTCTGATTTCCGGGCTGGAGTGCAGTGACAGGAACATAGCTCACTCCTGGGCTCAAACGACCATCCCGCCTCATCCTCCTAAGTAGCTGGGACTGCAGGCACACACCACTATGTCCAGCTAATTTTTTAAAAGTTTTTGTGGAAGCGAGGTCTGGCCGTGTTGCCCAGGCTCATTTCAAACTCCTGGAACTCCTGGGCTCAAGTGATCCTCCCACTTGGGCCTCCCAAAATGCTGGGATCGTAGGCATGAGCCACTATGCCTGGCCAAATTCTTAGATTTTTTTTTTGGTATATTCAAAGAGTGTGAAACTATCACAACAAAAAAGTTCAGAACAGTTATATCACCCCATAAACACCATACCCATAATCAGTCATAATCCAAAACTCCCCGCTCTTCTCCCCGGCCCTGGCAACCTCTAATTTATTTTTCATTCCTATAAATTTGCCTATTTTGGACATTTAATATGAATAGAATTATAGAATACATGGTCTTTTATGATGCTTCTTTCACTTAGCATAATGTGATTTCCAGATTCATCCAGGTTGTAGCATGTATCAGGACTTCATTCCTTTTTAGAGCTAAATAATATTTTATTGTATGATATACCACATTTTGTTTATCCATTCATCAATTGATGGATGTTTGGGTTGTTTCTACTCCTTGGCTATTATCAATAATGGTGCTGTGAACATTCGTGTGCAAGTGTTTGTGTGGACATATGTTTTCATTTCTCTTGGGTATGTAAGCTGGGTCATATGGTAGATAAATCTGTTTAACTTTTGGAGGAACTGCCAGACTGTTTTCCAAAGTGGTTGTATCATTTCTCGTTCCCACCAGCAATGTGTGAGGGTTCCAATTTCTTCAATTCGTTGCCAACATTTATTATTTTCATCTTTTTTTCTAGCTATCCTAGTAGAAGTGAAGAAGTATCTCATTGTGGTTTTGATTCACATTTCTCTACTAATGATATTAAACATCTTTTCCTGTGCTTATTGGCCATTTGTATATCTTCTTTAGAGAAATGCCTATTAAAGTGTTTTGCTTATTTGTTATTGGGCTTTCGTCTTTTTATTATTGAGTTGTAAAAGTTCTCTGTATATCTGGGTACACATCTGTATTAGACATACAATTTGTAAACATTTTCATCTATTCTGTAGGTTGACTTTTCACTTGGTATTGCATTTTGAAGCACAATCACAAAACTTGGTTTTGTGACCCTGTCAAGGGTGTCTTCATGTGTCACAAGGATTAGCATGAATTTCAAAGTGAAGGAAAACAATTTGTCTAGTGAAAGTGTTATGTGTGTGTTTATTACAAAATAAAGGTAGATTTCCAACCAAATTAAAGTTTATTGAACCTCAAAACAATGTGTTCTTGTAACTGAATATTTTTTCCTCTAGTGAGTGATGTTTGTTACTGCAATACAACTAGCTATGTTTCTGATTATTTTTTTGTTTTCCAAATCTAACAACTTCTTGTGAATTTTTTTCAGTGACATATAGCTATATAGTCCCTGCAAATTTGCAAATTATATTTGCTTTCCCAGATAATAGCAATCCTAAGGGAGCATATACCAAACACTATTTTGTGTGTGTGTTTATGTGTGTGTGTTTGTTATCAAGGTAAATAAAGAGCTTTGTTAGCATAGATATCATGTACATCTATGCTATAGACTGTCAATTTATTCTGTGGAATAGTTTAAAAATTTTTTCTTTCTGCTCAGTAGTTGGCTAGGTAGAGATGTAAACCATAAATGCATGGTACAATTTACACAAAACTGTGGTATCTAGAGTGAAAAATAATAGTGAAGTATCTCAAAAAAGGAGTTTTAATGTTAGTCACCACATGGATTAGTATTTTAAGACAAATAAATTATTAATATTTATTAATCACTTTTGAAGCTCTTAAGTGGAAATTTATCAATGCTCACAGTAAATGTTATTTCTTACAGGAGGACATGAACCTTAACGAAGAAAAAAAAGCGCCTTTACGAAACAAAGATTTTACCACCAAGCGTGAGATGGTTGTCCAGTATATTTCCGCCACTGCCAAATCTGTAAGTAGGGAGATTTTCCTGGCACCAACAGAATGAGCTTAGTGTTATTCTGCTTAAAAATGAGCAAACCTCAGATCTTCAAATTATCTCATTGTACTCAAATAGACTATTCAGAAAACAATTTTTATATGTATTACCCACTTAGTATTAAATATATATTTTAAAACTATTCATCATTAGAAATGAGACACTTCCATTATTACAAACAAGGCAAAGGATACAAAGCTCTGAGGTAATCCAATCCAGTCCTGAGCCTTTGTGTACATACTAAAAATTGACTGCATGTTGCAGGTATTCTGCTTAAAATATGGTTAGATGAAAATTTCAAATTTTGAAGAAGGCACAACTGAGCATAGTCACAGCTTGAGTTAAGTTTACATTAAAGCTACATGTCTGGTGTCTGCTTGCATGAAAGATTTAGCAGTATTTTTAAATTCATTTAGCTTTTCTCATAATTTCATGTGATGCAAACTATGTAAGCTGCCTCATAATTGCTATTGTATAGCTTCATTTAAAGGATGTCACTTAATAGGAGCTTTAATCAAATCTGATTGTGAGTCCCAAGACTTGAAAGTAAAGTTCATTGAAAGGACGCGTTATTAACAGGAAACTTTGTATTTTAATGGAGTATTTTGCTCTGTTCACTTCCTAATGCACTTCTAAATATAGTCTTAAGCTTTGATTTTGTTTTTTTGGTAAGAAAAAATTGCATTTTTGAAATAGCAAAATGCATCTTTTACATATCTGTAAAGAAAAAGCTTTTAATATCTAGAGTTGATAAAATCACTGTATGTGTGTATATGTATGTATTCGTATATATATATCTATATATATACACAATACAGTGATTTTGTTTGTGTATACATATGTATGTACACACACATACACATTTAGACCATGCATTTTAAATTTCATAAATTGACCATTGCAGAAAACAAGTCTTTATTGGAAAATGTATTCTAAAGTTATTTGGCTATCCTATTAATGCTATTTCAGTACAGTAATTCCAGTGGCAATTACTAATGCATTTTGCTGTGAATTCTATGACTGTATTGATTCTATATTGTACTTTAAGCAAGCTAAATCTGAATGCTGGACTATTTAAACATAACACATTGCAGCTCTGCCATAGCAGAGCAACAACGTGTTTTTTAATTTGCTTCTGGTATCCGAGGGCAGAAATATGTTTCAAGTGATAAGTAAAATTTGCCATGAGCGTCTTTTTCAATAGAATTAGGTGATGCATAGGGTTTTACTTTGAAATTCTGATGAATCTCTTCTCATTTTTGCACTCAAGTTATTGTTCACAGCAAAATGCTTTAGGAAATGCAGGATGTACATTCAGTGTTATTTTTTCAAATACCTAAAGGCTCATACACTAGTAAATCTGTATGACTGAATCTGAGTGCAAAGTACAGATAATAATATATGAATAATCATGTGGTGGTTTTAATGATAAGATTTTGTTAGTGTCTCTGGCTTATTTGTTGTTGTTTGTTTAAGTGGGGCTGAATATAATGATTATATGAAGCTCTTATTCCTTGACCTTTTGATTATTACTTGATTTCTGTGCAGAACTTGCTTACATTTATTCTCATATTGTTTCCTCTTCAAGTGACCAAAGAAATGCACACTTTAAGTCATATACTCATTTCTCACATTAAAATGCAAAAAGCTGGATAATTATTAGACAAGCTCACTTGAATTGCAGTATTCAAAAGATGGAAATTCAATGTTTCTAAAAAGATATGAAAATTCTATGTTTAAGGCATTAGCCTCAAAATCAGAACTACTTAATGGCCCTTATTTATTTCATTCAGTGTACGTATGAGCACCTGAATTATGTACAGCACTTTGGTAAGATTTCCATGATTATACATTTTTTGCTAATATTTTTCATGGGCCAGATATTATGATGGAAGAAAGCCTGTTGACAAGCATGTTTTGAAGCTTTCTCACCTTGGAAAGACATTAATTACCACTGTGTTTTCTATCATTAAAACCACAAAAATTATTTATGTAATTTCCTTTTGAAGGTGAGCAGGTTGGCCTTCAGTGACAAAAAATCATCTAATCTTTTGACCTTTTCATTATCACAGCACTAAAATTTGCATTTAAAGTAGATATGATAGTAACCACTACTTTATGCAAATGCTTTCTAGGTAGTCACAACTTTCATCTTGAGGTAACAAAGTTAAGAGCTAGAGTCCCTGGTGGAAACATGTTTTATAGTCATGGTAAAACATGTGAAAATTGTAGTTAAGTTTAAACATAAATCATACATTTTCCCCATTTAACACCCGCATTAGTCATTTTGTATGAGATCTAAAACCAAATTTTAGATAGACATGTCTATCGTGCTCCTGGGTTCTTGAGTAAGGACATAAAAGTAAAACGAAGCTATACATCAATATGTGGTCAAAACTTGTTTCTAAAGCAAACAAGAATCTTTTGTTGTGTAATTAACTTTGCTAAAATTAGCATGGAAAAAGAGAATATAAAGGAAGCCATAGGATAATAATAAAAACTATTGCTTAGTGTTTTCTTCTTAAAGTCCCATAGTAGAGAATGTTAAATTGTGTGACTATTAAAGGAAAAAGTAGTTTGAGTAACTCTGTCAATGATGAATGAACTTTAAATAGAGGGGTGGAGAAGAACCTCCTTCCTGCATTTTATCCTCTGTTTTTCATTGTAGGAAGCATAGTTATGGACCTGACCTAGGGTAATAGGTACATGTAGATAATTTGACCACAAATGTGGGTAACCCCCCATATAGGCACTGAGGAAGGAGAGCTAAGCAGAATCCTGGCACAATTAGTGCCTGAAGAATATCTCAGTTTATAGTGTTACTACTCAGTTATTTTCCTTTATATAATCCTCTATATATAATCATATATTAGTTCATAAAATGAGAGCCTAAAGAGTATCTTACCATTCAGTTATTTCCATATATATATAAAACTATATCTTAGTTCATAATCGGAGGAATGCCTAGAGTAGGCATGGTGCAGAGCATGAATTAAGGAATAAGCAGCTTATAGTCGGAGGAATGTCTGGAGTAGACACGGTGCAGAGCATGATTTAAGGGAGAAACAGTTATACCAGGACGAGAATCCATGGCCCAGGCGGCAGCGTTTCAGTATCGTAAAGACACCTGCTGTATGGCAGGCTTGGAGCAACAGCCACTCCTCCTGATAAAGGAGTTGTAGGACCTTGCTTCAGTTCTTGTGGAAGGCTGCCGTCAGACTGGCAATCCCTCGAGCATCCGAGAGCTCAAAACCCCTCTGGATAATCGCACCTTGGTGACTATGAACTTTATCAGCTCTTGTAACTGTGCTAGCTCAAAAGGATCCTTCTATAGAACTCATTGGAAGCTGCCAGCAGGTGGCGGTAGACCCTGCCACCTCTGTCACTGCTGTGTGACTTAGGCATCCTCCTATATTCTTACAAGTAGCGTGCCCATAGATAAGAGATATTGCACACTGCACTCTCTTCACTGCGCACGGCCCACCTCCATGCCTCGGTGACCTAATGGGGGTGGACCCCTTGCTGCACACTGTCCACCTCCTAGCCTAGGTGACCTAATGGGGGTTACCCCTTGTTTTATTGCTCACAGCCCTATCACTATCCTTAAATATTACTTCACTCACTACCCTGTCCCTAACCTATACCCAATAAATACAGATGCTTCTGGACATTTGGGGCCTCGCCTGTCTCCGCTTCTAGGTGACATGGCCCCCCGAGCCTAGCTGTGTTTTCCTTGTACTCCTGTGTCCTGTCTCTTTATTTCTTGGATCCTGTGCCTCAGCACAGCATAAGGGACACCCCACGACCCTGTGGGGCCATTACCCTACACACAAATAACCTGGAAGAGTCTATGTTTTCAAAACACCAGCATATGTTTTAAGAAAATGGAAAACCAAACTTTGTTAATACTGTAAAAGTTGTCCTACCGTAATCCTGAAACAATATGTTGCTAGTTTGAGGACACAATATGTTGGTAATTCAGAGGGGATCTCACAGGCACTTAACAGCATATATAGACATTTATGAGGAAAAGTTATTCACTGAGCCCAACATTAGTTTGTCAAATGCCGATGTCATTCCTAGAATATTAAGGGACTAGTTTATTTAGAATTTAAATCATAATCTTCGAAATTTTAAAATACATAAATTATATTTTTAAAGATGTAAACCATTGAGAGGCAGCATTGGGTTTTTTTGTTTCTTTTTAAATCTCAGTAGGAAATAATTTAAAATAGTGATGCCAGCTATATCTGCAGACTTGTTACACTGAACAGTATCATAAGTAGTGAAAAGTTGCAGCGTATCTATATGTGTATACATGTATTACAGTTTTGCTTTTGTAATTATCAGATGAACTCTCTCAGGTCTTTTCCGGGTATGGTCTGGATATCATCAAACAGTTGAGCCTAGACATGGCCAAAATATTTTCTCTTAGCTTCTCTTAGGTACTAACTCTTATCTATTGCTGTTTGTGCTTTCGCTAAATGCAGTTATTATGCAATGCAAATCAATCATTAAATGGACCATATTCTGGTTGTTTCACTTAGTATATAGACTTGCTTTAATTGTTAAGGCGCGCTCACATTCTTTTTTAAGTCTCATGTCTGTGCTAAGTAAACAAGGGACAAATACGACCTCTGTCTTTTTGGTGGGAGGAAATAATTTAGGTCAATAGCATATCTTTTAATTCAGAAGACTATTAATGGCACCAAAGAGGCTTTTATTCAACTAAATAATCACTGCTTGGAAATAGTCTGCTGAATGAATATTTAAGAAAGCTGCTTCTCTATTCTGAGATTCATGGATTCTTCTGAAATAATTTACTTGGAAACTGTCATTATCTTTTTGTATTTTATGATATCCTATTCAACATAGGATTTTTACCGGGGTTTCAATTAAATGTGATTTTTATTTTTAAAGTACTAGCTGAAAAATAGAACACATTTTGATAACTGCTATTGGATTAATGGTTT